ATCTTGAGTCAATATTGGCTTGAGAGGGTGATTCTGTCCCCCCGGCAGTGAGTGTGGAGTGGGGCAACCATGCCATCACCCCCATTTCAGACAGCCCACAGCCTCCAACCCACTGGAGGGGGGGTTCTTGGTTGTCTCCAGGGCGAGGCCCGCTTGGCAGCTGAGGCCCAGCCCTGTGCAGGACATTGGGCTCCCCTGGGCCTGGGTGAGGGCATGAGGGTGGGCCCAGCCCCGGGCAGGTGGTGACACGGCCGAACCAGGTGGCAGAGTGGTCTCCGTCTGCCCAGGCAGCGGGTCTCCCTGCCTCACTGCTATTAATAACCGTGCAAACAAAGGGCGGAAGTGCTGCCCGCACAAAGGCACGAGCGTGGCGAGGTGAGGAACGGATAGGCACGGGGTCCGGCTGGCCCGCGTGTTTGCTCAGACAGGAAGTCTTGGGGCTGGGGGGGGGGGGGCGCAGCCGGTGGGGGCTCTGGCTGTTCTCATCCCCCTCGCCTCAGCACCTTCTCCCGAGCTGCCGATCACAATGGGGATGACTCAGCTGCCACCCACCCATCCCTCGGCCGTTCCTGTTTGGAGACACAGCGAGTCCTTCGCTGGGGTGGGGGGCCGGGGTGGGGGCGCCCGGCCCTCCTGGCCACACCCAGAGGCCAGCATCCGCTGCTCAGCTTCACTTTGGGAGAAAGAGCATCCGGGTAGGTTTCCGTGGGCCAGGCTGGGATGGCGAGCACAGCACCACTGCCTACAGTGCCCCTAGGAGCGCCCCACGGTCACCACAAGACTGTGCCAGGGCCCAGCCCTCTACGAGGGGGCCGGGCGTGCTGGGCCACAGTGAGAAATACATGCGCGGCGACCTCTGGAGGGTCCCAGCGTCCTCCAAATTTTGTTGAGATGGTGAGGGTCCCACCAGGTCACTCTTGGTGGCAGGCGCTGGGTTATGGGCACCCCCTCCGTAGCCCAGCTGGCAGTACCTTCCTGCAAATGGCTCTGGGTGCCGGCTCCAAGGGCCCCGCATAGCAGTCCACCACATACCAGGTCAGAATTCAGGGATTCGGGAAAAACACCCCTAGGCCAGAGAGTACAGCAACTGACATGCTGGCATGGTTTCCATCCCTGGCACCACAGAGAGTCCCCTGAGCCAGGAGTGAGACCTAGGCACAGAGCTGGGAACTGGGAGGTAGCCCTGTGCATAGGAGCTGGGCAGGACTCCTGAGCACAGACCTGGGAGTCATCTCTGAGCACAGAACCAGGAATGAGCCCTGAGCACAGAGCCAGGAGCAAGCCCTGAGCACAGAACTGAGAGTCATCCCTGAGCACAGAACTGAGAGTCATCCCTGAGCACAGAGCCGGGAGTGAGCCCTGAGCACAGAGTCAGGAGTTGGTCCTGAGCAAAGAGCCAGGAGTCAGCTTGAGCACAGAGCTGGGAGTAAGCCCTGAGCACAGAGCCAGGAGTGAGCCCTTGATGCTGCCATTGTGGCCTCAAACAAGAGAGAAACAAGAACCCCCTGGCTACGGGAACCTTCTTGACATGCCAGCCTGCTCAGCGCGGGGAGCACAGGCTCCGGCTTCTTCCATAAAAGGTCGGGCCTGTCTTGGCCGCCTTCACACGCTGGCCTCGGTCATGTTCCCGTCCATCGTGTGCCCTCTTTAAGTACAAAATCTCCCTCCCAGTTCCCGGTAGCTGCGAGGATTTTATCTGCTCCCCCAGGCATTGTCTGCCAGGCCACATAGTCTGCCAGGCTCAGCCCGGAGGCTGCGCTGTAGGGGACGCTGTGCTCAGGCCCAGCTAGGAGCGGAAGGAGCAGACAGGGATGGGGCAGGGGGATGGGTACGGGGAAGAAGGGCGGGATGCAGGGTGGCCTGCTCTGGCAGACCTTCATTCTCATATCTGTATTTATTTTTTAAAACGTAATAGATTCGGGTTCTGTGATTTACAGTAGCCTTCCTGGTGGTTTCCCGGGTATGTAATTCTAGCATCACCCATCACCCCGTCAACCCCGTCCCACTGCCAAAACTCAGTCTGGGGATGAACTTCCCGTGGCGCTGCCTCTGGCTGCTGGCTCAGCCCCGCCGAGGGGCACAGTCTCTGGTCCTGTCCCTCCCCTCCAGCGGACTCCCGGCACGGTGGCCTTTTCATGAGTTATCAAAATTAATTTTTCTTTTTCTTTCCTTTCTTTGTTTTGTTATCGGGCCACCCCTGGCTGTGCTCAGGATTTACTCCCGGCTCTGTGCTCAGGGATCCTGGCTGGCTCCCCACGGCAAGGCACGCTCTCTCTCCACCGGACTACAGATCGGGCCCCTTGTTCTGCATTTCTCACAGCTCAATCACAGGGTGATTAGCTCTGGTTCATGGTCTGGTAGGATGTTCACGGTTCTGATGCACGGACTCGCTATTGCACCGTCACCACTGCCACCAACCTGCAACTCTCACCACCTGCAAGGTCTGATGGCAGATGACGAGGGTGGTTGAGGGTTGGGCAAAGCCTGAGACATCACACAGGCCCGGAACAGAGAGGGATGTGTGTGTGCGTGTGTGTGTGTGTGTGTGTATGGGACACAGAGCTAAATGCACACGCACACACACACAAATGCACACACATGTGCACACACACGTGTGCTCGCACACACACACGCACACATCCCCAGGACCTCCTATAGACAGGCCACGTGCACGCCCCTGCCAGGGCCACACCCCTCACCCCAGAAGATCTGTAAAATGCAGCTCGTGCACAATTCTTCCTCTGCAAAACTTAATTTCCGCCATCACGAATCACAGACACTGGTCTTGCCAATGGTTTTTTTTTTTCTGGACTGGACATCAAAAGCAAAGGAAGCAAAAGTAAAAATAAACAGGGGAGGGCCACTTCTGCACAGCCAAGGCACCCAGCAGTGGGGCAAAGAACCGCCCCCCCCCCCCAGGCCCCCGGGCCCCAGGAGGGGAGAAAGCGCCACAGACCATGGGTGGGATAGAGGGCTTTATAATATCTGAGGTGCGTGGAGGACTGGTACTGTCCACTGCCCAACAGCCCAATGGCCTGATCTAAAGCCGGCAGAGGACCCGAACTTTCTTCAGAGAAGAGCAGATAGCTGAGGAGACAAGAATTAGGGCTACAGCTCGTCACCACCCACAGGGGGCTCCCTCAGAATCCCTGGGGCTGTTCGCCCTCCCCAGGAGGGTGGTCAGTCGCAGAGACCGGCCAGTGCCGCAGAAACCAAGAACCGGAGGGCGGAGGGTCAGGGGAGATGCCAAGGACGCGGCCACTCTGTAGAATGGTGCCAGCAACACCATTTCCCTGGGGGCGTGCTGCTCCCTCGGGGAATTCTGGTTTTCAGAGGAGAGAAAACCAGCGACTTGGACAGAGCTTTGAAGGCCATTCATTTCTTACAGCAGCCGCAACAGACACAGTCCACGGGGCCCAGGGCCAGGGGACACGTCCGGCAGCCATGAGAGCCACGGGACCTCGGGAGAATGACACGGAGGTTGCCCGGGTGATCCACGGTGAGTGAGGGGACATACGCCCCAGGAGCTCATTCCCAGGGGCCCGACAGTGCCACCAAGTGAGCTCCCAGACCCCGCGCGGATGGTGTGGGGGGGGGGCAGAGCGGGCAGCGAGCACAAACTTCCTGTTATTGTCAGAGCTGGGGACTGACCAGGGGCAGGGCAGCAGCTCAGGAATGTCCCGGAATGCCCGGAAGGAATATTTATCAGCACCTCCGTGTCTGACTTGGGGCACGAGGCAAGAGGCACCAGAATCTCCCAAACAGGTCACAGGGCCACCGTGCCAGTTTCCTGGGTGCAGGTACGACCTGGGGACAGCGGGGACCAGGACAGCAGGGGGTGTCTGATGTGTTAGGGGCCTGGGAGCGAGCACGGGGCTGGGATTAGACTTGGGGCCTTGCACTCGGCAGCCAGGCACTCCCCACCACCAGAGCCACACAGCCCTGCTGGGGGTGAGGTGGGCGGTGGAGGGGGGTGAGGTGGGCGTGGGAAGAGGAAGATGGGGGAAGGGTGGGCGGGGAGTCCCTGCTGGGCGGGAGGCCTCCAGGACAGGGAGGCTAGATCCCCCACCCCAACCCCCAAGGTGGAGGGGAGCAAGGGGAGCAGCCACACCTAAGGGTTCTAGAAATTCCCTCTGTTGACTGCCAGCTGTTTCCTGTCAGGGGACAAGGAGGGAGGGGGGAGGGGGTGTATTGGGGGAGGGGAACAAGGGGAGGAGGGGGAGGAGGAGGGGGAGAGGAGCGATGGGAGAAAGGGAGGGGAGAGGAAAGGAAGGAGAAGGAGAGGGAGGGGAGGAGGGGAGTCAAGGGAGGAGGGGGAGAAATGGAGGGGTGGAGGAGAGGGGTGGAGGACTCCCCGCCTGGCTTCAGCCCTGGGTTGGCCGCGGTCACCCTCTCCTCTGGTCCCAGGCTCACTGCCTCCTGCACCCCCTAAACAGTGGAGCACAGGGGGCTGGACCCCGAGTTACTGCCCCTTGGCAAACCCCTCTGTGGTTCTGGGTCAGGAGGTGCTCAGGTGAGAGAGGGGGTTCCCATGGGGGTTCTTTGCTTGGCCTTCTAGCCCCCCTAGATCAATTCACTTACTGGGGTATGTGACCCCCCCCAAGTCCAACCCACCCGCCACACTTCCCGCCCCGCTTTGTGGCTCTGGGCAGTTGCTCTGGAATCCTTGGGTGCTGGACACAGAGTCTGGGGACCAGAGCCAGCTCCCAGCCCTGTGCCTGCTGTCCCCGGGCACTGTCAAGGGGCTCAGGAAACTCCCACCCCTCGCTGTCCACAGGTCCACTTGTTGGAAGGGCCTTATCGCTCCCCACCATCCTGAGCCCGTGTCGCCAGCCCCTGGGCCCGATGATGGAGGAAGGAGCCACGGAACTGTGCCCCACGCCACAAGCACATCGCCACGGAAAAGAAGGGACATGCCGCAGAGTCTAGCGCCACGCATGAGGATGGGGGAGCTGGGGGTGGCGCACTGGGCCCCCCGCCCGCTGCCGGCGCCCGCTCACCTGAGGACAAGAGGCTCCCGCTGCTGCCGCTGATGATCTTGCCTTTGCTGCCCATGTTGGCCAGCTTGGACGTCTTCAGCGTGCCCGTCTCGGTGAGGTCGATGGCGATCTCGCTCAGGCTCCGCGCCGCATGGATCTTAGACTGAGGGACAGGCAGCTGGGTTAGTGGGGGGTGGCTGGGCCCGGGGCATGGGGGTCGCCGCCTCCCGGTCCCTGAGCACTGGGACCCTTCTTGTGACCCCCTTTCCTGGCCTCTGCTGCCCACACTGGCAGGGGACAGAGATTCCAGCCACCTTGCAGGCCCCTGGTGTCCAGGAACTGACTGAGTCAAGAGCAATGGGGAGTCCCCTTACTTTGGTTGGTCCCCCCACAAGACCCCTGTCTGAGTCCCTGGTGACGGTGCCATGGTCATGGGAGGCCGCATTCCCCATCTCTGCTCAGGTCCCAGCATTGGGAGACCCCTCACCATAGACACCTGCCAGGGGGCCTGCGAGCCCAGGAGAGGGGGGATGGGGCAGGAGGTCAGTCCATATAGTGACATGTCTGTCCGTGTGCATGTATGTGTGTGCATATGTGCACGTGTGTTTGCATACATGTGCGTGCATGCATGAATGTGCATGTGTGTATGTGCATGTGTATGTGTGTGCATGTGTATGTGTGTGCATGCACGAGTGTGTGTGTGTTTGCGTGTGTACACGCGTGTGCATGTGTACATGTGTGTGGTATTTACACACGTGTACATGTGTGCGTGTCTGCATGTATATGCACATGTGTGTTCGTGGCTGGAGAAGCCTTATTGCTCCCCGCCATTCTGAGCCCGTGTCGCCAGCCCCTGGAGCCCAATGATGGGTGAAGGGACCATGGAACTATGCCATAGCCCCATATGTGTGCATGTGTGTCCCGGAGGGAGGGAGGGCTCTTGGAGGGAGGATGGCGGGCACAATGGCCCTGTAGGCAGATGCGCGGGTGCCAGGTGAGGGCCCGGCTCCGGTTCTGACTCAGCTACTCGACAGCACTTGCTGTGATAAGCATCAGCCCCTAGCCATGCTGGGCCACAGCCCTTCCGAGCAAGGCTGGCACAGCCAGATCCCATGGAAGGCGAGGCAGGGGCCAGTACACCAGCCAGCATGGCTCTTGAGAAATATCTGAAAGCTTTTTATCTGCGGACTGTGGCCCTCACTAGCCCACCCAGAGCCACCCGCCATGGGAGCCCTCAGCCTTCCGCCAAGAACATTCCAGAAACAGCAGGTGTCGTGGCCGAATTCCTAAGGGCCATTCCTGATTCCAGGAGGAATCTGAGGATGTCTGATTTCCGGAGGAGCCTCGGGGGTAAGGTGGAAACAGGGCTGGGGGGAGGGGCAGCGGACACAGGGGCCAGTCAGTCAGGAGGGGGCGTATCTCTGGGGGCCGGGGAGCAACGGGGCATCACTGGGCACGGCCTGTGCTGTGCTTGGGGAGGGTGCTGGCACACACCAGGGGAGGCGCTTCTGGGCCAGCAAACGCCATGGGGGGCATTGCAGCCCTCACCCAGTGGATACTTCAGTGGGCTCTGAGACCCTCTCCATCCCTGCAGGCTGCAGAGTGGCGGCTCCAGGGAATGCAAGTGCCCAAGCAGCCGTGAGCATCCCAGAGTGGGCATCCAGCACCGGGACCCAGAGACTGTCCTGATTGTGGTGGCCACGTGGCTTGTCCTCATGGGAGATGCTTCTCGGTGGAAACTGATCATCGTCACTCTGGTTCTTGCAGTGATGGGGATCGAACCCGGGTCTCCTGCACATGGGGCCAGTGTGGTGCCACCGGGCAACCCTCCGAGCCTGGCAGAGAAGTCCTCTCCCTCTGCAGGACAAGTCTGGGAAGGCCCCTCAGAAACACATGTAGGAGTGGCCCCGAGTTTCCTGTGGCATGACCCGGCCTGACTGGGCCTCCCTGCCCTGAGCTCTGGCCAGCAGAGATGCCGCCGTGCCCCTGGCCCCAGAGGAGCCCACAGGGGGTGGCACTGGCCGCAGCCCCTGGGAAAGTGCAGCAGTGGCAGGTGTGGAGGGCGGCTCTGAGAGCCGGGCAGACACTGGGCTCCCACGTCCCAAGGGGGTTGCCTGGGGCCCTGGCTGGGTGGGTGCATTCCCAGGCCCTGGGGAAGCAGAACAAGGTGGGGCAGTGTTTTTTTTTTTCCTGCCTCATGTTTCCAGTTTTGCATTTTCAAAAACTGGGGCTGCCAGTGGAGGAGGCCCGAGAGCAATTATCCCCGACAGGCTGGGGAGCCTATGAGCTGAAGGGCTCCCCCCGCCTTACTTTTCCTCCAGAAAGCAAACAATACGCCACTGTCTAAACACTCACAGGGGCTCGGCTGCTCTCTCTGGGAGTTCCCCGGGTTCAAAGGCGCAGCGGGAATTCCTCCGGCCCTACCTGGCGGGTGGCAGTGGAGCGGCCCCACCTCGGGCCTGGCACACGGCTGCTGCCCTGTGTGTGCTGCCTCTGTGGGCACCTCCCCAGCCCTGTGAACCCAAGACATAGACACGGCCCCACGGCCCCGCGGCCCCGGGCCCAACCTTACCTTACTCTGCTTCCTGTCCAGGTAGAACTGGTGCTGGCTGATGGCCATGGCCCAGATGGACTTGATGAGGGCCGGACACGCATACCACGTGTGCACCGCGATGCCGCTGTGTCCGAATGTCCTCCTGGTCACCGAGGCCCTGGGAAGCAAGACCGGGGTCAGCCTCGGGCGGGAAGCTCTGGTGCATGGGCACAGGTATGCTGACAGGCACACGCTCTGCACACAGGCACACACGGACACACACACAGCCGCCACACGTGGGAACACACAAAGAGGAACACGCCCCACACATGCACACATATCTACACAGACACATGTATATACACACACAGACACACATGTACCCCAGACTTGCTCATGCACATGTGCACACACTACACATGCACACACGTATGTATACTACGTGCATACACATGTAGACACGCCACACACACCACATATGTGCATGTACCCATATACGCACAGGCTCTGATACCACACACCCACACAGACACACACATTCATGTACACCACACACCCATGCGGACACACACTCATGCACACCACACAGCCACACAGCCCTGCTCTCCCCTGTCCCCCGCCCCACTCTCCTCTCTCTCTCCCCGTCCCCATCTCTGCCATCTAAACAAGCACAGACACTTTCCCTGAGGGATCTGCCCCTCTCTCCATTAGCAGAACGTCCAGCAGGGTCGCCCAGGCCCTGTCCTCTGCCCAGCGCCCCCCTTCGGAGAGCTTGAAGCCGTCCCGCTGTCAGCACATACTCAGGCTGTGTCTCGCCCCGAGCTGCCGCCGTGAACTGTGCTAATCTGTCGGTTTACGGACACTTTAGGGTCCAGGATTTGCCAAGTAGCTGCTTTGTGTGGGGTAAGAGGGGTCATTCTAGGGCACTCGAGGGCCTTGCTCCTGGCTCGGGGCCAAGACAAACTTCAGAAACCGGAAAGGCCTTGGACAATGTCCTTTATTAGCCGGCAATGCTGCCCGAGGTACAGGCGGAGCAAGCTCCTAAGGCCACAGGCACGGTGGCCGCAGCGTCAGACGGAATCAAGGCATCTCCTGTTCTCCGACGCGGGGCGCCCAAACTCGCTTATGCGGCTTATCTGCCTCTCCCCTTCAGAAACAAATCGCTCAGCATCCACAGAGGAAATCTATCTTCTTTCAGCGAACAGATAGAAAGTATTCCCCGCCCTCACCGCACACAACCCCCAGCTAAGACACACACTAGCCGCTCCCATAGCTCCGACCAGACCCCTCTGCCTGATCATTCTAGTAACTCAGAAAGGTCAGGGCCCTTCCTGGGAGCACTGAGCCCAGGCCAAGCTCCCTGACAGAGCTGGGTACCGGCTTCAGGTTGGCAGGCATGAGGAATGAGAGGGAGGGGAGAAAGGGAGGGTGTCAGGGACTCAAGACACTGCACTCCCCCCCAGTTTAAGGGAGAGCCGGGGGAGACAGTGCAGCCAGAGAGGGGACCGGGGTTAAAAACAAAGGGGAGGGGACAGTTCAGTGGGTAGGGTCTAGCCTTGCATGCAGCCAACCAGGTCCGGTCCGCCCCCCGCCCCGCAGTCCTGCCAGGAGTGATTCCTGAGCACAGAGCCAAGAGGAAGCACAGCTGGGTGTGGCTTGCCAAACAAGCATGGAAGGTGATGAGACTCTGAGCGAGGTGTCTGTGCCGCGGGACAGGTGGGGCATGGAGAACCGAAAGGCTGGAGAGATAATACAGCGGGGAGGGCATTTGCCTTGCATGTGGGTTCATCCCTGGCAATCTCATATGGTCCCCTGAGCACAGCCAGGAGTGATCCCTGAGTGCAGAGCCAGGAGTAAACCCTGAGCACTGCCAGGTGTGGCAACAAAACAAAAGTCATAACAAAAACAAACCAAAAGGTGGAAATGGGTGCACGCTGGCCTGGAGGGGGACACCTGGTGAGGCTGGGTTGTATCTGTGTAAATCAGAAGCAAGGTGTGTGTCCTCAAGACAGGGAACTTGGAAGAGGCTGGCAGAGTCTCATAGCGGGGAATAATGGAAATTTTTTGATGGCAAATCACCCCTCACTGAACAATTAACAGCCCCTTCTGCTGGGACTAACACATAAATACACGTAATAAAGTTTCATCTTGTTTTCCCTTGGGGGCATCCTCAGTGGTGCTGCTGGGTGGCCTCTGCAGCCACCCATGATCAGTCCCCAATGCCCACTCCAGGTTTGTCCCCAATGTTCAGCCTGGTAGAGCTTAAAGCAACAGCTGAAGGGAACAAGCTGCAGTCCATCCTCCTTCGGGCTCCCCGCTGGCCCCACAATGGCGACCGCCAGGCCCAGGAGCCTCGGAAGCCAGGGCAACATGGGGGCAGGCACGAGGGACCCCCTTCCATTGCAGGAACCAGCCCGCTGCCAACCTTCATGGTGCTCCCGACACCTGCGGGCCTGTCCTTAGCTGGACTCGCCACCCCTCCCTTCCCTGCTCCCCACCCCCCGCCCCGCCCGTGTCTGCTGATTAGAGGAATCTCCCAGGACACAGAGATGAGGCCATAGCAGGGGGGCACAAGGGGGCCCATGGGCGCCGCTCCACTGAGGACCAGTCAGAAGCCAGTCCCTCTTGGCTGTCCTCTGTTCCTGCAGCAAGGAGTCTCTCTTTGGGGATGGGGGCATCCCAGCAGGGGAGGGGGCTATTCCGGTTCAGCAGAGTGAGCTCTCTCCCGGCTCTCTCCCTGCACTCCCAATTCCTCCCAGTTCCTCCTCTGCAAGACACCTCTGCTGGCCACTCTGGCTTCCAATGACCCTCGGCTGGCACTTGGGGCCCATCAAGTGCCACTCCCACCACTTTCCACCGTCAGTGCCCTTGGATGGCTCTCCTGCGGCACCTGCCTCCTGGGGCTCTGGAAGGAACCCCCATTTCAGCCTGTGAGTGGTGGCCCGCGGCCCCACCCTCCTCGTCCCCACCCCTCAGCCCTCAGCTGTGCTAAAGTCATTCCTTATCCAGCACCAGCACCACGCCCAGCTAACGGCTACTCAACACTCGGGAGATTGATCACTTCCGCCTGGATATGTGAGCCTGGAGCCTCTCCTGGACCCAAGGACCCTGGGAACGCAAAGGAATTTCACGCTGAATTGCAGACAGGCAGCGAATCCAGAGAGGAAACCCACATACCCACACATGCTTGCACACACACACATGCTTGCAGGCAGGCACACATACGAACACATGTGCTCACACACACGAACACACGGCATTGCACACATCTGAGGCTAGGGGTTCATAGACTCATGCATGCATAAACACATGAAAACATGCACTCACATGTGCTCACACTTGAACACATGTGTTCACACATGAACGCACAGCATTGCACACGTCTGAGCACGGGTGTTTATAGATTCATGCACACATAAACACCTGAAAGCATGCACTTATATGTGCTCGCACACATGAACACGCGTACTTGAACACATAAACACATGAAAATATACACTCACAAGTGCTCACACACATGAACACAGTCTCATGCACATGAACACATGTGCTCACACACATGAACACATGTGCTCACACACATGAACACACGTGCTCACACACATGAACACACGTGCTCACACATGAACACACAGCATTGCACACGTCTGAGCACAGGTGTTTATAGATTAATGCACACATAAACACATGAAAATATACACTCAACTTGTGCTCGCACACACGAACACAGTGCTCCAGCACATAAAGACATGTGCTCGCACAGACATGAACACGGTATTTCATACATATGAGTACAGGTGTTTATACTCACGCATAAGCACACGACAACAAGCACTCACGTGTGCTCACACACATGAACACACGTGCTCGCACACACAGGCACAGAGCCTTGGAGTCCGAGGTGCCGGATTGCGTTAGAGCTCTCATCCGACCACCAGCAGAGGCTGTTCCACACTCACTTGGCTACACTCCTTCCCTCTCAGTTTTCAAGGAAAAATAACACTCAGTGCCTCCGTGAAAATCTACCTCCTTTAAGTGCAGAGCCAGAAGCCACCCCCGTGGCACCCGGGCTCCTACCACACCTGATCCTGCAGCGGCCACCAGGCAGTGCCCCTCTGGGAAGCGTGCTCGGGCGCATCCACTTCTGCACCTGCCTCTCAGGCGGTCACTTTCCGCCGTCTCCCCCCACCTGCTGGAGAAAGCCGGGCCTCCCCTCTGGGCCTCTCTGCAGACCTTGGTGGGAGCAGCCCTTGCCCTGTCAGCAGGCCTGTCACCCGCTGGTGTGATGGTGCGGGTCAGATGCCCCCAGGTCCCTGTCTGTCTGAGGAGCATGCGTGGGGTGGGCAGGGAGGGGCTGCTCTGTGCTGATTACGGGCAGGGAACCCCATACGCTATCTGCAGCTGCAGGCTGGGATATGGGGGGGCGGGAGGTCTGGGCTCCCCCTCCAGACCTCCTTTCCCGTGCCCCCACCCCACCTTGCTGTTGTAGAGCCGCGCTTGGGGCTCTCGCAAGTGATTCATGAGGTGTCACTCCAGTTTCCAGGCAACTTTGCCTCAGCTCCCGGCTGCCGAGAAGTCAGCAGACAAAGAGAAGGGACCCGGGCTGTGGGCCAGCACACCCCCACCCTGAGCCTTGCAGGAGGGGCTCACGGCCTTCCAGAACACAGGAGCCTGTTGTTGAGGCCACATGGACGGACGGACGGATGGACGGACAGACCTTTATGCTCTGGGCAAGCCAGCACGGCACACAGGTCTGACACCCTCAAATGCACGCTCAGGGAACCAACCCATTGGCCAGGACCCTTCGCAGGGACCCCCGGTGCCCCTGGGCTCTGTGATGCCGCCCCAAACTGCAGACAGGGGCCCTGGCAGGCTGTCTGACGGATGCTTCTGGGGCAAAAGCGCCCCCAAACAGTCCAGCCCCCGCCCCTTGCAACTTGGGGTTTCTCACACACTGTTCCAGCTCCCCCAGCGAGCTCCCCTGTGCCGGCTCTGCATATCTGCCCCAGAACACGTGGAGACACGGGCTGTGGAATCTCTCCAGTACCGGCACCCACGAGCCCACTGCATTCCTCGGCAAACAACCCACACAGCTTGACTGGACGTCTGCTCGCTGATGATCCTCCCTTCTGCCCGCCAAAATGTACAGGAACAATGACAGCACCCCCAAGCCACCCCCCAGAGCAGAACCAGGAGCAGGAGCAGTCGGCCGGCCGGGCGGCAGCAGCAAACATACAGACACAGACACAGACACAGACACAGACACACACACACACTCCACATCACACACAGACACCACACACACAGCACCACACACACAGACACCACACACACACACACACACACACACACACACACACACACACACCCCAACCGCCCAAGAACTTGCTCAGCTTACCGGCGTGGGTCATGGACCTCCACGGAAAACTTCTTCTCCCTGAAATACAGGTTCTCCAGCTGTCTCCATTGGAAGATCTGGGCAGGAAAGAGGCGGGTTACAGTCAGGCGGACGGGAGAGGGAGACCTCACTCTGAGATGGTAGTTTCCTTCTCAAGCAGAAACCGGGAGCTGCTTGAGCCTTCTCAGCCTCGTCCCGCATGCATACGCATGCACACACACACACACACACACACACACACACACACACACACACACACGCACCCCACGGCTCCCCACTTCCAAAACGGCAACGTGGGTGTGGATTTTCCTGCAGTTTTCTTATCAGGAACAAAACAAGTCCTTGGGCGACAGAGGGTCCCTGCCTTTGTTGGATTCCCCCAGCCAGTCGGCACGGCACGGCACGGCACGACCGACCTCTCTCTGGGTGGAGAGGAGCCGGGAGTGAGGGGGCCAGGGCACGGAGGTGCTGCCGGGGGCGGCGGCCGGCCCGAGACTGCAGCCAGCCCCGGCTTCCTCCCCTCCAGCGCCGAGCTGGGAAGGCGGTCAAATTCCCAGCCTCCCCCGGGACTCCACTTCCTGCCCGCTAATGTGCAAAGCTCTGACTGGCCCGGGTGGGCGGGCGGACGGGGAAGCTGCTCGCCAGGGCGGCAGGGCGGGGCGCTCTGACCTCCTGGGCTGGGGGGGTGCGGGGTTCAAGCCGTGCCAGATAACAATGCAAGCCTGTCCGCTTGCCCCGCGTAAGATTCAGCTATAGTCCGACCTTTCCACACTCACGGTTGAAGTCGGTCAGAATTTGTGCCGCTTGGCTGATGTTTGACGTTATTAAAATGATGTCATCAGCAAAGCGGTGGTGGTGTCATTGCCGAATATCTATCTTCACTCCCATTCCTTCCCATTGCAGTCATTGCATGACGTTCTCGAGGGTGGCACTTGAAGAGTTTTGGTGAAATGGTATTACCCTGGCCGAATCCCTTTCTTGACATGGATGATTACTTTCTTTGTATAATGGTGAGATCCTGGTAGTGAATCCGTAATAGAGCTCACAAAGGATCCTGATGTATTGGGTTTGTATGCCCTGATTGGCTAGGGCTTCTATGACCGCTTCCATCTCAACAGAATCAAAGGCCTTCTTTAAATCAATGAACGTTAGACAGAGCGGCATCTTGAACTCCTGAGAAACCTCAGTGAGTTTAGTAATCGTGTGGATATGGCTCAGAATCCAGCACTCCCACCCAGGGGCCCCGGATGTCGCCCCTCTCGCTGACCACTGCCCTGCCAGGACCTGTGAGGGAGACCAGACCTCCCCTCTGAGGGGCTTCCCACCTCTCTCCCCGGCCAGCTCTGTCCTCCAGAAAGTGGGTGTCCGTTCCCCGCTAGTCAGCGCAGCGCGGGGAGATGCTGACCGGGCTGGGCTCCTTGCGACACTCCCACGGGGAAGACCCTTCCTCCAGAGCCAGCATCTCTCCCCCAGGGCAGAGCAGTCAAGTGGCACAGGACCGGGTTGGGGGGGGGTCACAGAGGAAGTGCACCATCTCCCTCTGGAGCCTTCCACTGGGGCTGGATTTGCTGCCAGGAAGGTGAAAGCCAGAGTCGGGGTCCCTGAGCACCCAGGAGGGCTCAGCGGCCCAGATCAAGGAGCAGAGAGTAGACCCCCCTAAACCCTATAGCTCCTCTCTGTCCCCGGATGACAGAAGTCTTCCCCCGCCCCATGGAACCCTGTGGGGCCCAGGACCCAGATTCTCAACTCTGAGCCCCAGAACTGCAGGACGTGACCCGTCCCACACCCTACCCAAACCACAACTTCCAAGCTGTGGGAGCTCAGGCCGCGGGGGAGCTCAGGTGCCCGTGGCCATGAGGACTCCCAGTTTCTCCATCCATCAATCAGTCACCCCCTGCCTCCACTCCCTCTGGGTGATGTCCCACAGCCTGGGGGCTCAGCCCAGGGGAATTTAGAGCTTCTGGTGAGAACTCGCCTCAGAGAACAACTTCACAACTTCACAACAACCCAAAGCAGACTTCGAGGCCCCCACCCCAGGCCTGGCCTTAGGGATGAAGGAAATCTGCTTCTCCATGGTTTGGTAAGGATCTTTCAGGAGGGGGAAGGATCAGTCCTGGCCATGCTCCCTTCCCTTGAAGAAACAAGGGATGGGGACCAGGTGGGTGCCCCTGAGGGGGTCTTAGCCCCAGGACGCCCACTGTGTCCCTTCATGGACTGCAGACAGGGGAGGAGGCTGAGCTGGTCTCGCCTGTATTGTCTGCGGGTTGAGGCTTCTCATCTGTTCAGGGTGGGGCCGGGCTGGGGTGTCCACATCCATGTGGGTCTCCGTGCTCCCAGGAATGGTGCTCCCAGGAATAGTGCTAGTGCTATCAGGGCTGGTGCTCTCAGGAATGGTGCCCCTGGGGCTGGTGCTCCCAGGAATGGTGGTCCCAGGGCTTGAGCACAGTCTTTTTTTTGGGGGGGTCACACCCAGCAACGCTCAGGGGTTACTCCTGGCCCTGCATTCAGGAATTACTCCTGGTGGTGCTTGGGAGACCATATGGAATGCCGGGGATCGAACCCAGGTCAGCCGCCTGCAAGGCAAACGCCCTACCCGCTGTGCTATCGCTCCAGCCTCCCCACAACCTTTTTTTTTTTTCCCGATGCACAGTCTTACGTTGAGAATGAAAGACCGGGAGGGTGATGGCAGGGCTGGTCAGGGTCCCAGGAGCTGGTGCAAGGACACTGTCCTCACAGAGGGGGCAGGTGCGGTGGGGGAACCGGTGGGGGGGCAGCAGTGGACAGAGGTGGGCTGCTGGCCCCCAAATGTGCCCCGTGACACAGGCACCTGCACACACACGGGCATCAGATCTCAGTCAGCAGGCGCAGCTCTGACTTGCGGGCCTGGGTCCACACCCTGGGGAAACCTCCCTGAGCACCAAGTGGACCTGGCGGCACGCAGGACAGAAAGCTCCAGGCACACACACCGCCAGACGCCAGGGCTGGTCCCCCCACCGGTTGGTGCTCTGTAGTCCCGGTGACTAATTACAAGCTAAACTCCGAAGCCTATCAATCATTTATTAATGAGTGCCTAATAATTTATTAATTAACGCCTATTAAAGCAAGGCCTTACTGCTGCGCTTCCTCTGGGCACTCTGCAAGGCTCTGCAAACCTCCTCTTTGATCCCTGGCCACCGCTGCCCAGAGCCAGGGGGCACTTTCCCGGACGCCCACCTGCAGTGAGGGAAGGAAGCTGCCAGCTCCCCAGTGGGCAGCACCGGCTCAGTGAGTAGCCTCACCTTGCCTGGACTAGCTCTGCCTCACGAGCAGGCAGGACGCACAGCACTGAGGCGCAGGGGCCCCTCCTTCCCACCCTCAGCCGAGCACTGAGCACAGAGTCTTTCTTCACAAGTCCTGCGTTATCTGGTCCCTGAGATGGAACCGGAGCATCTCACGTGCCTGCCATGAGAGACAAGCTGTGAACTTATCAGGGTTACAGAGTAACACAGCAGGGAACACAAGATTCCACAGGGGGGCAAACCCTGGCCCTGAAAAGACTCAGGAAGGAGAGAAAGGGAGGGGGGCAGGAAGAGGTGGGCAGGAGCCCAGAGGGGCAGGTCGGGGGTCTGGGCCCAGTGGGGGAGTGGAAATGCTGTGTCTGTATCCACTGAAACCACTGGGTCAGCAAGACCGAAGCAGGGGACCCGAGGCCCAGTGGCCACTTTGAAAAGGGCCAGCAGGCAGACTGGGCTGGGGGGGAGTCTGGACACTGGTGGTGGGACAGATGCTGGGACATTTTCTGCCCAAGACTTCTACAGACATATTTGTAAATCAGGGTGCCTAAGTAAGTCATTTGGAACAATGAAGGGAAATCAAGGTGGCCCAGATTCCCCTGGCCTTCTGCTTGAGGATGTTCAACATCTTGAGTTATCACCAAGGCCCCGTCACCTGGGACAGGCACCTCGGACCCCGGGCTTGCCCCGAAGTGAACACGCAGTGGAGAGACCCCATCGGAAGGCGTTTCCTTGAGACCCTACCCAGCACCGCCACGGGGACCACGACTGGTCCTTGGCCTTTCTTTTTTTTTTCTTTTCTTTCTTTCTCTTTTTTTTTCCTTTTTGGGTCATGCCCGGCGATGCACAGGGGTTACTCCTGACTCTGCACTCAGGAATTACTCCTGGTGGTGCTTGGGGGACCATATGGGATGCTGGGAATTGAACCCGGGTTGGCTGCATGCAAGGCAAACGCCCTCCCTGCTGTGCTATCGCTCCAGCCCCGACCTTTGTCTTTCTCAGCTGGACCTAGCTGTGTCCTGTGTCTGTGCCTCCATGTCCCCATGTGTAGAGCAGACTGGGGGAGCAGGCTGGGGGATCAGCCCCCTCACCCAGCAGGACCTGCTCCTGGCCTGAGGCTGGGCTGCCGGACCCCCAGCCGAGGGCAGGCACCAGAGTTTGCCTTGTCCTGAGAGAGGACTCGGGGGCCAACCAGAAGGTTCCTCCAGAGCTAGTGCTCACCTGTGTGTGCCCCAGAGGCCACAGGAAGGCCGGCTATTAGTGGAGAAGCTCACTTGGGGGCTCTGGGTCCTGATAGGGATGTCAGGGAGCCCTGTCCCCCACAGTCCCCGAGGCTTCTCAGGGACAAGCTACTCCTGCCTCTGTGAAACATCCCACGGCCCTTCCACAGGCCGGGCGGAGACACCCAGGCTGGCACCCTCTCTCCCGGGCACTGCAGAGCTAAGCCCCTGGGGGTCAGGGCTGCCCTCTCGGAACGTCTGCTCCGGGCTCCTCCCATGGCAGGAAGCTCTCCAGGAAACGCAGTGACTCTAGGCCTGTCCACGCAGCAGCACGAGGCCCTGCAAGCAGCGGGCAGGGACCAGCCGCCAGGCGGCGGGAAGGAAACGTGCGTGAGATGCTCAGGGCCTGCCTTCATTCCCGGGGCACCAGCCGGCCCCCATCTCTGGCTCCGTCTGTCCCTTCCGCAAATAACCTTCCCAGGGCTGCCGGGTGGAAGGAGGGGATTCCCAATCGGTGAATTTCATTAAAGTGGGCGCACTGCAGGGGGAAGCCGGGTGCCCAGGAGGCTCTATGCTAGGGACGAC